TGGTCCAGTTTCTTTTCAGTAATTTTGCGCACCGTTCAACCGTAGTGCTGGACCTTGTAAAAAAGTGCGGCGGCAGCAATTCCAACTATTGAACAGATCCCATGTCTGGCCCGCCTCGTTGATTTTGTCCATATCAACCAGCTAAACCAAAAGTGCTAGAATTGTTACACCGTCTTTCAAAATGTACATTTTTGAGAAATACATACTCAATGATAATAATTTCAATTTATTTTTTGAAAAGTTACACTTTTACTAAATACATACTCAACTTGAATATCTCCGGGTTATGATTAATGATGAATAGTACAGTATATGATGAATCAAGTACAGACAGGAGTCTCTGATGAATAGTACAGTATATGCGACTTCCCATGAGTCTCTGACAGGAGACTCTTCTTCATTGCCAGCACAGCATCATCAGTAAGCATGACTGCGCCCTCAACAAGGTCTGAACAACTCCAAACACGGCTCAGTAGTGGCACCATGTGATCCCCAACGGCTACATGCAACAATCACTGGAATACACAATACATGCTCATGTAACACCATTACATGCTCATGATCTCCGCTCAGAATCCGGGTTTCTCCGCTCAGAGTCCGGGTTTTTCCGGGTCTAGTCCGGGTCAGTATTTTCTCCGGGTCTTAATTTCTATTTCTCCGGGTCACGTGTTACCTAATACATGCTCACCAGTCCAAATACATGCTCAACCCATTTTCTCCTATATCACGTTAATCACGCTCGCATTCTATTTATATCTATATACAATATGGGAAGGTGTTCTTCCATCGGGCTGGCACCATCAAATTCTTGGAGCCTCTCATGTAGACAATGGCCTCCTCCAAGCAAGCCTGCCCGGAGATATTCAAGTATATGACCAACAGTATATGATGAATCAAGTATACTGCAATGCATGTTATGACCAACAGGTTATATTTAATATGTTAATTAATGTTATTTATGCAATTACGCAATACCTACCCTTTTACTCAATACATACTCAAGATTAAAATTGTTATACCAAAAGCAAAAATCAACATTTTTCAAAAAATGTACTTTTTCGGGTTGTTACGGCTTAGCTGGAATACGAATAGTCACCGACTTCACCTCCAGCGAGTTTTCTGCCACCCTCTTGATCGTGAAGCCTGCAGGGCCACTGGTAAGAACGAGCTTGTAGCTTTGAAGTGGCAGGGTTGAATTATAAAGTCAAAAAGGACGAGGTAACCCCCTTGTGTGTCAGAAGCCGATGCAAACCTGGCCTCCCAGAGACAAGGACGCAT